TTATATATATATTAAAAGTTTATTATATTATTATATTTTTTCATATAACAAAGTTTCCCTCAAAATTTAAGTAATTTCTTTTGATTTTTAAACCATCAAGAAAAATATGTAAGTTTCATTATTTTTAAATCAGAATATCTATACTGTTTAACACAAATATTTTCATCAAGAAAACTTGAAGTTATTCATCACTGACAATGGAAATAATGAAGTAATATACAGTAGCAGCCTTAGAAATTATATCATGCATAAAATCCTATAAAAAGAAAATGCATTTTTAAAGTATCGTTTCGCTGCAGCTCTGCAAGAAACCATAAAACTGCATCACCCATGACATTGTAAACACAAAACTGCTTTTCATTGGCTGACAAAGACTACTTCGGCAATATGATTGCATAATCTATACAAAGATAGTGTACACTTTTCCATATAAAAAAATCTATAATAGTTGCTTTGAATATTGCTGAATATTTATCATATAGTGAAATAGGACAGAGTGCATTGTTAGCAATCAATAATTGTACATTTCTTACAAAAAAAAAAATCATAAACATTGCAAAAAAGAAAAAAAAACCTAAATCAGGCAGTAAACATCTAAATACCAGGATAGGTTATTGAAGTTTCTCAGCCTGCTGGTTATTCCAAACTGAAAGTAAAGTGGGAAGGGTAGACAGATGCATGAACTCTGTGTCATCATCTGCATAACATAGATTTAAAAGAAAGTAAGAAGCCATTTGTGATGAATAAAATGCACACAGTAACTTATCTTGGCTAAATACCATGTAGAGTGGAATGGTGACATGTGGGATTCTGTTGTTTTTGAATGAATCCAAATTTAATCTGTGTAATCCTGACATCAAATTCAGTAAAAGTGTTGGCAGACTACATTTTATAAAGGATCTGTAAATGCAGAGTGCTACAAAAACATTGTATCTGCCAAGCTAATTCCACAAGAAACAATTTTGTGACACAGTGACAACACTGCACTATGTCACTACACCAAGATGGTGAGTAAAGTATACTGTAACCTTTCTCTATGATTTGTTACCATTATCATCACTTAAACTCACACACAAATCATTAGACAAAAAAATTCCCACAAGAAACCCAAATCAGATGCCTAAGCCTGCCAGATAAGTCCTGATCTAAACCCTATTGAGAATTGCTGGTATATTATGGGCATAAAAATTGCAGGAAGAGGCCAGAAAATAAAAACTGTATGAGTATATTAGAAGAATCTGCTATCATGAGCTTGGTATAGAATCTTGGAGAAATTCTTCACTCCAGTCTAAAGTGTTGCAAAGCTGTTTCAAGGTTTCAGGTAGTCCTACAAGGTAAGACGATCCTATTCAACAAGAAATAACTACTCACATTAAGTTTTTCTGATTATTTATTTAAACCCTATTTTATTAAAAAAAATTTCTAAAAATCCAAGATAAAATGTATTTTAAAACTCTGTTCATGTTAATTGTATTCCTGTGGTTGGAAAGACATGAAAAGACATTTCTTTTTTGCTTCCATAACTGTAAGCAATCAGCACTCATTAACAGTATTCATGAGGCTATAAGAAATAACATTTAAGTGCATGTGAATATATTTAAGAAATGACAATTTTTTTAAAATTCTTCTTGATTTCTTCTCTGTATTACATATGTTATCATTAAAAATTGCAATCATAGCTTAAAAATGCTACTTTGTAAATCTGTTGCATGCCTTTTGATATACATCCAGAGTTTTCAACCTATAATTTTAAGTTGTAAGAAGTTTGCATAGGATATATTTTCTATTATTGCTACTATGTACTGTACCTTTGCAAACAAATCTTTTCAAAAAAATTCAGCAAGAAGTTGCATAACTTTCCCAGCTGTCATGAGATTTTATTAGAAAATGACTTTTATATATTTTTAATTACAATATAATAAAATTCTGTGTGGAACCATCTATTATGAGATTTTGTTAGAAAAAACTTATATTTTTAATTAGTATAAAATGGCTAAAAGCATAAATTTGGGAAGGGATAAGTTTTTTTTTAAAAAAAGTATAAATGTAAATATGACAAGTAAAATAGTCATTAAGTCTGACCTTACTGGAGATACACATGAACCTGCTTGACCTTTAACCACAAAATTTAATAGCATCAATGCCCCTTGTACGACACCGTATCAAATTTTGTTGGGAGGGAATGGGAGGGAAGGGGTTATTAATCTTTACCTCATCCTGATATGTTATGCAAAATACGTGGTATATGCCAACATAAACACACACACTCATGAAATTATTCTGCCATTTTTTGACTTTTTGGATTCAGGAGGTCTCAGAACATGGAGCATTTCCATGATTCAAAAGGTGATGCAATTTCCATGGCTGCAACTGTATTATTAATGAATTTAGTTTTAATCTTAAGAATTTATTTATTTTGATCTTTAAGATGAAAAAATTGAATAATATGAAGGTGTTTAAGCAACAAATGATGCATAAGGTGTAAATCATTAGTATTTCTGGTTAAGAAATAAATAGATAATTTTGTTGTTTTTAATTAATATCGCCTATAATACACCTAACCCTAGATTTACACAGTACTTGAATTATGCAATTTAGGTTTAATAGAATTCCATTTTAAATCATTTTTAATATTTTATTCTGAAATTTAATTTCATTGATAAAATTAATGTTTAGTCCTATTATGATGTTGTTATTGATGTTACAATTGCTTCATTGCTACTTTCAACTTACAAATTCAGAGATGGGATTCTCTAGTTTGTTCTATATCATGAATTTGAATGCATTAAACATAGCTCCCATTAGGAAATTTATAAAAATTTAACAGAAATTTAAAGAAAAGCAAGCTTGATAATGGAATTTTGTTGAGACAAGCCTATGAAAAGCTTTGATAAAATAATTAGAAAAATCAAATGTATATTATTGTGATGTTGTCACAATTTCAGGTTGCAATTTTTAATCATATTTTAATTTTAACTTAAAAAGTCATGTTTTCCGATCCAGACTGGAATTAATTAGGGCTTCTTGCTCCTAAGCTTTTCACATCTAGTCTTGATTTTCATCTATCTAATTTGATCTTCAACATTAATCAGGAACAGAAAGACAGATTACAGTGGAAACATATAGGCTGGCAAT